CCTTGGCAGTCTCAGCGCACGCCCTCGTGGCCGGACCTGCGCAGCCGGGCGCGGCTCCTGCTGCTTTTTCTGTCGCTGGCCGACCTGCTCTCGGCTGCCTCCTACTTCTACGGGGTTCTGCAGGACTTCGAGGGCTCCTCGTGGGACTGCGTGCTGCAGGGCGCGGTCTCCACCTTCGCCAGCACCAGCTCCTTCTTCTGGACAGTGGCCATCGCCCTCTACCTGTACCTCAGCATCGTCCGCTCCATGTGCGGGCCCGAGGCCCGCCGCCTGCTCTGGGTTTTCCACATCGTCAGGTGGGTGGCGGCCGCGCTGCTTTCCCTCGAGCCCGAGCCCGGGACCCCTGGCTGGGCGCCCAGCGGGCAGTCTCCTCATGCCCCGGGACCGCCCTGGGCTAGCGGGCCAGCGAGATGATGCCAGGCTTGCCTGAGAGATGGACCATTCCTGAACCTCTCCGCAAGGGTGCTTCTTTGAGGCGACCCCAGCCTGAGCCTCCCGAGGAGGTGGGCGCCTCAGCGCAGCCCCTGGAGGGTGGGGGTCCAGAGCTGGCCCACAGAGCCTGATCCTGGTAACTTGGAAGCACTTGGAGAGCTGGCGAAGGCACGTTAGGCCCTGCGTCTCCTGCTTCGTTGCGTTCTGGTCATCCCCGCTGCCCAAGGGGAGACGCACCTGGGATCGGGTCTGGGAGATAAGTTAGGTGGCTGCCCCAGGCTGGCGAGGTAGGTGTGGTGCACTGAGCCACTCCCAGGCTGCCCCTCCACTCAGCCCTCTGCCAGACACACTGCTTCAGCTAAAACATTTAGGAGGGACAGTCTTGTTTATTTTATCTTTGCCCATCTATAAATCAGGCCCCAGTCGCTTGTTATCGCTGTTCTAGATAATCTTGACTTTCTAGAGTTCAGTAGCTCTGAAATTGAGGTCAGTGGCAGAGGCTGGTCTGGAAGAGGGCTGCCAGCCGCCTGAAGTCTCTGAGAGTGGAGAAAACCAAGCCCTTGTCCTGCCCTGGCTTTGGAGTGTCTCATCCAAGTAACCCTCACCTATGGAGGAAGGTTGGCCCCTTCCTGGTGTTAATTTCAAGATTCAGACATCTGGTGGTGCCCTGTGCTGAACCCAGGGTGGCAATTTTACAGGACTTCTGTCCTCTCTCCTTCCAGATAAGAGCACCAAATGCTGCCCTAATTATAGGTCCTCTCTGTTAAATACTTGAGTTCTTTCCAAGAGACTGAGGCTAGTCAGCACTTTGGTAGAGACAGGTCACCTGGGTGTCACAACAGTGAGGTCACAAGCCTGCAAGAGTCACTTGACCTCCAGGTCTCAGAGCTGTTGGATCGAGGCCATTCAGTCCCTCGGAAACTCAATGGCCTGCTTCTCAGCTGTTCAAGTCAAAACTTTTGCCCAGAGCCATTCAGACATGCCTCAGGGGGCCCACCGAGCAGGACTGCCTTTCCTCTCTCTGCGTCCCTCCTGGTCTCCAGGTCCACTCCCGAGACCCCATCCTTGACAGGCTGCATGGGTGTGGGCATCGGGGGGGCGCACGTGCACTTGAGAAGAAGCCAAGACTCTCTGCAAGAATCTCTCTTTTCCCCCTCTTTTTAAAAATTCTGAATACAATGTATTTTTTAAGTGATAAAGAGCCTGGTGCAGCTCCTGTAGAAAAGACAAATTTCCTAAGAACCCTGAGTTGGAAGTTCTTTCTGTTCACTTCTGGGGATGTTTTCTGTGATGCCTAAGGAAGGCCTAAGAAAGTCTGCGTGGCCTTCTCTGGCCATAAAAAAAGAAGCAAATTGTTCATCTTGTCTGTTGAATGTGACCCACCTGCTTCTTAAAAAGAAAAAAAAAGTTTCCTAAATCCAAGCTAGTAAGGAGCTTTGGCAGTTTATTCCCTTTCAGAAGTTAGCACGCACATTGCACGTCTAAGAATTGGTAAAACCTGTCCAACAGGCTCGTGTATTGACCTAGATCTTCCAAGACTGTCTTGCTAAGGACTGTCCAGCGACTTTCTTTGGACGACTAATTTCTTGCTGCTGAAGGACCTCTCAGTGGAGGAATCTCATCTTCAGACACAGGCGACACAGTCACCCACTGGTTAATCTTTTCAAACGACTGGAAGTCAGTCTTCTTCTTTGAACCTTTCAGTCTTGGAAAATATTTTAAAATATGACAACACAAAAGGTTGATATCTCTAGTCTGTAAGGAGTTTTTATGAGTTGATTTTTTAAAAAACTGACACATATCCTGATAAATAGACAAAGGACATTCTAACAAAATAGTAAAAGCATGAAAACTCAAAACAACACACGTTGTAACAGTGAGGTATCATTTTCTCATTAAGTTAGAAGGAAAAAATTAGCGAGGAAGAATACTGATGTGATAAATGCAGGGGAAACTGGTGTTTTCGTACATCATTATTGGCGATGTAAATTGGTATAATCCATGTAGGAAGTATTTGGTTCATACCCCTTGATCCCAGTAATCCTATTTATAGGGACCTGGTCTAAGGAGATAAACCAAATTGCATGCAAAGCCAGATGTACAGAGGAGTTTGTACGGCACTGTTATGGTAAGAATTTGAAAGCAACCTAAATGTCCAAAAAATAGGGGAATGGTAAGTTACAGACTTCACCTCACCTGGAAATGTTGCACTGCCGTTAAATATTGGCCGTGAATTCTGTTAAATCATATATTTTTTAACTGGTATGCTACAGTGTTAAGTGGGGGGTGGGGAGGGAAAAAAAAAAGCCAGGCACAGCAGGAGGCTAGAGAGAGTGGTGCTCACGTGCACGTTCCCAGAAAGCACCTGGATGGCCCCGGGGGGCCCATCATGTCTGACATAGTGTCCTTTACAGAAAGAATTTTTTTTTAAATCTCTTTGGGGAAAGCGGGCAGCTTAGACTTGATCCTCAGGGACACTGCATGTCATCACAAGCTGCATCAGGCTCCTGAGGTCTTGCAAAGTGAGGTCCCATTCCTCAGCTCATCTGTCATCTGTAACCCGGATGCTCCAGGTGATCACGCTCCAGGCACAGCCCATGAGACTTGCCCAAGGCTGCATGAGCTGTTAGTGGGAAGCTCAGAGTTAAAACTCGAAGGTCAGTGCTCATTTTAGGATTCCATCTTGTCTCCAGGCCTTGACAATAATTTCTTAAACTGAGAGAGAATTCGGAAATAATTTATTTTTAACTTTCCAGATTTCTACCATTATTAACATTTTACCATGTTAGCTTTATCCTGTCTGATTTTTTTTTCTGAAACCATTTAAGAGGAAGTTGCAGACCTGATGCCCCCCAACTCCTGAATCCTTTAGTGTGTCTTTATTTTAAAAGTCAAGGGTAGTCTCTTGCATAACTACACACACCTCCTCGAAGCAGGAGATTAACACGGAGCAATGCCAGTGTCTGACTGCGGGTTTACTGAGGTTTTGTGAGTCATCTAATAAGGTCCCCGATAGCAAAGGAAGGTCCTGGCTTATGCGTTGACTTCGTTTTCCGCTCTCTACCCTCCTTTCATCTGGAATATTTCTTCCATCTTCCTGGGGTTTCACATCTGATCTTTTTGAAGAGAACAGGCCTGTTACTTTGCAGCATGTCCCCTGCCTGGCTTGCCTGATGCTTTCTCGTGAGTGGACTCAGGATCTGCACTTTGGGCTGGAATCTCACGGAAACGTGTTCTCGCTTCTTTCACAGCAGTGGCCGACAACTTTGATTTGTCCCTTTACTGGTGATGTTCACTTTGACCCCTGGGTCAAGGTGTTACCTGCCGGTTCTCCACCGCAGCTACGCTTTCCTTTTGTAACTAACGAGGACCTCCTGGAAGTCCTCACTTTTGCCCAAGGGTTGCACAACCTTTGATGCCGACAGTATTCGGAGGTGAATCTTCTGGTTGTTGCTGCATTTTTAAGGTTGGGTGAGAATATCCCATGTTGGAGGGAAAGCCCTGTATTAAGTCCCCTTCTGTTGCATCTTAGCTGTGGAGGCAGCATGATACCAGTGCCTCGAATTCTGCATCCACTGGATAGGCATCTGTGGCCATCTATCTGCAGTGCTGGCCTAAGAACGTGCTGAGCAGGTCAGCTGGCAGCTGCTGTGGGTGGGGTCACTTCCCCTCTGATAAGATAAGCCTGAAACCATCTCTGTCCCCCTGCAGAAGGTGCCCTGCCTTTCAGAAGCAGTCGTTAGCGCCTCTCCCCCTGCAGCAAGGTAGTGGGTTCCTTCTGAACCGAGCCGGCAGGGCCATTAACTGTCCCCCCACCTGTGTGCCCCTGGCCACCGCTGTGCCAGGCACCCACTGGTGTGTCCTGTGAGCGTGGGGGGAGGTCAGGCCAGGGGTGCCTCCTCTCACCAAGTCAGAAGTCAGGACCCGGGCCGGGCTGGCCGCCTCGAGCCGTCATAGGATTTCTTCTGGCCCCACTGAAGTGGGAGGAGGTGTGGGCATGACCCCTGGCCCACGTGCCCACCCACTCTCTGGCATTTGCTCGGGGGTTCTGGAAGAAGAGAGTCGATGGCACCCCAAGTTCACCATGAACCCCCCCCCCGTGAGGCGTGGGAAGTTCCATCACAGAGAAAAGGGGAACTGTGGGCCCAGAGAGGGGAGAGCCTGCAAGCTCTCTAAGCAGAAAGTGGCTCACCGTAGGGCCGGGCAGGGCCCCAGCGGGCAGGGTCAGAATAGGGGATGGACACAGAAGCACCCCACATCGGTCAGTCCTCCCCAGAATAACAAGAGTTGAACTGGCTTTGTTCCCCCGTAGACGTTTCCTGGGGGCAGACGTTTCCTGCTACAGCGTGAGATCTCCACACTGCTTTCAGGGGAGCCCACTGCAGGGGCTGCACTGTGGCACCAGTGGCTGCCCCTTGACCCTTCCAGGGCAAAGTCAGATCCTGCTGGCCCTTCCCTGGGCCCAGGTGGGCAGGAAAGCATCTCTGAGCAGCTCCTGGGCGCCCATGGAAGCGGGGCTGCAGAAGGTGGTGCCCTGGGGGCGAGTGTTTAAAAGTCTCTCTGGACATCCCTCCCCACTCCTGTGGCCAGAGCTGCAGAGGCCCTGGTGGTGGCCTGGCCAGTGGCCGACTCCCTGCACTCCCACGCCGGCCCCTCTGCCCCATGCTTAACAATCAGAGCCCACTGTTCCGGGCAGAAACCTGCAGGCAGCCGAGCCCTGGAGTCCTTTCACCAGGCCTGCTGCCCGCGGCTGCGTCCCGGCTGGGTCCCTCCGGCAGGCTCTGTCTGGCTCCCAAGAGCTTTCTAAATTGGCACACTGTTGCCAACAGTTTTGTTCATAGTAGATGCTCAATAAAAATGCACTGAATAAATGGTCAAGCAGATCAGGGCATTCTGAGGTCAAGTTAACATTCAAGGCTTTTCGTAGGCCACGGGCACCTGGACCAGGCTCTGCGCTTTGGGGGAGAAGACCCTTTTGTGGCCTTCCCAGCAGGTGCCACCCACCCCCCAAAGATCTGGAGGAAGGGGGAGGTTTTGGGTGAGGAGAAAGTGCTGGAATCAATGGTGTATTGAGCAGACCATGAGCCGCCTTCCATGAGATGGGGGAGGCTATGTCACCCCGGGTGTCCCCCTGCCTCTGACTGGTGGGAGAGGTTCTAGAAGATGCCCAGCTGGGCAAACTGGGGACCCACTGGGAAACCCAGAGTGTTGCTGTTGTGGGCACTGGCTGCCTCTCTTGCTCACCTGACAGATGCCAGGGAATCCAGGCGTGGGACGTAGCCTGCTCACCGCCTGGCTTGATCCCACGGTGGTTCAGCTTCTCTCTGGGAGACTGAGAAGCACAGTGGATGCTGAGTCCCAGGGGCCGAGCTCATGAGCAGTCTGAAGGGCTTCCCCCTCCTCTAAGCTTCCCGAGGGCCCCCAGCTCCACCAGCCTGGCTGTGGCGGGAGGGGGGCCCCTGTTTCTGGGCTACAGCGCCCTGCCGGGAGCACTCCTCCCCCACGGTTGGTAGGAGCTTCTGCCTTCGTCTGCTCTGGCTGCCCTAACAGAGCCTGCAGAACACAAGTGAGGGCTGGGCCCAGGCACCTCCGGAAGAGGCTCTTGGTGCCCCTCCCAGCGGGGGATACTGCTCAGGATGGCCTTCAGACCCCCTGCATCTAGGTGCCCCCAGCCCTGCTTCTCCTCAGTCCGAGTCACAGGTTTGGAGCAAAGGGGCCTTGTTGGTCACCTGCTTTAACCACGTCCCTCCTCGGCACCTCTCCCAGCGCCCCCGGCACGCTCCCTCCGGGGAGGCCGCCCGTTCAGCCCTCAGCTTTCTGACTGAGCAGGACACCTGCCCTTTCCTCCGGCCACCAGACTGCACCCCACTAGCAGGACCTCCTCAGAGTCTTTAAATGTTCCGGGACAGCTCAAGGCCCTGCGTCTCCTCCCAGACCCGGCTCTGGTGCCAGCTTCCCAGCCTCAGGTTTAGCACGTGGGTCGCAGGTGTCCGCACGGAGGCAGGGCAGTTTGCCCGCCGACCTCCCCCTCAACGTCTGGGCGTCAGGGCGACCCCTCTGACCACACGACTTTCTCGGTCACGGCCAGCTAAAACCCTGGGTCTGTTTCACACGTGCTGTTGAGCTGTATCTTACTCATTCTGATTTTATTTTTTGATGGATGGCTTCTTTTTTTTGGAAGGGTAAAAACTCTTATGTGATACGTGTCAGAAATTACAAGTATGCATTTACGGAAAGCAGGAATTAAGTCACACGTGTCTTTGTAGAGTTCCTTCCAGATTCGTACCACCTCCATCTCAGGGTGGCCACTGGCCGGAGAAGAGCTGGGCTTATCTGAGCTTGCCGAAATGACTTCCTCCTCATTCTGCTCTCTGGGTCCAGAACCTGGGGCAGCTTCAGCTCCCTACCCTTCCCTTCCTCTGTCCCGTGGTGTCCTGGAGCCAGCTTGCGGGACCCGATCGCAAAATTTCAGGGCATTTTGTGGGCTGATTGTTGGATACCACCATCATTAAAAGTTACATTATATAAACTTACAATTAAATAAATTACATTAAAAACAAAATTAGTAAATATTCAAAACTCCTTCGGTCCTAATTATTGTTTTGTTGATTTGCAGAGCAGATGGCAGCAAACTTTTCCCTATAGAGGACGAGTTAGTGAGTATTTTCAGCTCGGCAGGCCGGGTGATCTCCATTGCAGCTGCTCAGCTCAGCTCTTGCAGCTTGAAAGCAGTCATAGACAACATGGGACCAGTGCGTGTGGCTGTGTGCCAATAAAACTTTATTAAAAAAAAACAGACCTTGGGCCAGATTTGGTCTGAGGGCCGTAGTTTGCTAGACGGCTGATCTAGATTTAAGGAAGTGATAGAGAAAATGTCAAATATAAAGATTAAACATAAAAGTGTTACTGGTCTCTGAACTTAAGCAGAGGCTGCAGCCACATGAGGGCAGGCAGGAAGCTGGGTATTTGAGCGGGAGGTGATGAGAAGGGGTAGGATCTCAGAGCCGGAAAATAGAAGACATATTCTTCCAGGGTTGGGAAATTATTACCTGATCCACAGAGAGGTTGCTCACCTCATGCTGACCCGGTGAGGTTCCAGCTTTTGTCTGTTCCCCAGGTCTTCCTCATGTCACTTCCATCTTACCGGTTAAGGAGGATGGAAATACCGCCCACCTTCACGTCATGGAACCTCCCTCATTTGCTAACTGCGGCCACAGGTTGGCTGCGGATACCTGAGTTTGGCAAAAATCAGCAGCAGCATCGTGTGAGCCTCACTTGGCGGCATGGAATTGACAAGAGGGGGTAACGTGCATTTTATTATTATTTTTAAAGTGTGTGCCTCACATCCTTGATGTCAGTAAAATTCATAGTTTGTGTGTATACGTCCACACACACGTTTGTGCATATGTCTTTCTGATGTTGCAATATCACCAGCACCCCATTGTCTGTGCCCGCAAATTATGAGTCTGGGCAAGCCTGCTTGGCTGGGTTACAGACCATCCCTCCCACTCCATTCCCTGAGATCACCCCTCCTTCCCACCTCCACCTAAGTGCCTCCCCAGGCAGCTTCTGGCCCCTGCAGAGCTGCTGGCTCTGCTTAAGTTGAAACAGCAACTCTGATTGATCAATCCCCAGTCTTAACCCTGTCAGAGCTGTCTGTCTGTCTGGGCTCTCCTCTGGCCGTTTCCCAGCACAGACTCAGCTCCAGGCACACCTCCGGGACGCAGAGGAAACACATCACTTTGCAGCTTTCGTATGACAGACCTAAAGCTGCAAACCATGGGTCTGTCACCCTGTGGTCCCCAGGTTTCCCTTAAGGGCCCTAGGGATGCCAAGGAGGAACAGGAGCCCCTTCCTCCTGCCACGCCCTGCTCTCCCTGCCTGAGTGGGAATCCTCGGCTCCAGTCCTGCCGGGTGACTGTCCCTACGCACTGCTCTCCCCCCTTCCCAGAACTCCTCAGAGGAACCCTGTGAACTGTAAAGTAATGAGAAAGCACACCTCTGACTTCAGGATTTCAGCTGCAGTTCTTGAAAAGCCTTTTAGCTCCTTTGCATAATGTCTTTGCAGTGAATATTTAGGGAGTCAGTTGGGGAAGCTGTCTCAGTCATTTGGCTCAAACTTCATTCGTTCACTCACTCATTCATTCAGCAGGTCCCAGTTTGGCCCCTCCCACGTGCCAGGCACTGTTGTAGATGCCGAGATAAACAGCAGGGAACCCACACAGCCTCCTGGAGCTCACAGCTGACCTGTGTAAAATCCCAGGACGGCCTGAGTTTTAAAACGGTTTATTTAAACCCTTTATTAAGACAAAATAGCTTGACACTAATATCTATTAACTTCCCAGATGAATAACTTTGCATAGGACAAGCTTTTAAAATGGACACACTCCATTTTAAAGTGTAACTTGGTACCTTTCTCATAACCCTTTAACTCCTGTAGGGTTTCTGCCCCTTCTGAGCCTTTGTGACTCCGGGGGAGGACTTGCTGCTCTGTCCCTCCTGTGGAGGCTGCGGAGGCGAGGGGACAGGTGATTCTGAGAGCCTCCTGCACCCCGTCCTTCCCAGGCCAAGAGAGCCAACTTCCTCCCTTTCATTTACTGATGGCATCGTCCCGTTTACTGCTTGTTCTCTGGGTAACTGAGCCAGGTCGTAAAAAGCCTACGTGTCCTTTTCCTGGGGGCAGGGACCACACAGGCCTCACACTTTCCTGGTGCCTGCACCACAGGCCCGAATCCTGGGACGTGGGGTCAGGACTCATTAACAAAACAGCGGTCATCAACACAGACACACTCACCGTGTCTCGTGTGCTGGGCGTAACGCTGGTCAGTTTATTCCTGTAGTGACCCGGAGCGGTGCTGTGCTCGAGGCTCTGTGATCATTCCCACTTGGCAGAGAAAAACACTGCCGCGGTCAGCCAGGTGGGCCAGGCTGGGACGCAGCATGCCCAGCCCCTTGCATCACGGCCCAAGCTCTTCGCTGCCCTGCCAGGTGGCCATGTAGTGTCTATGTGTCTCGCTACCTGATTTACAAGGCTCTGCAAAGAGACTGATGTGGGGAGCACTGGGGGGCGGGCCTTGGGGCTCGGCTCTAACCCGGGCTGTGTTGCCACTGCATTAAGCTCTCGAAAAGTCAGCCCAGCACTGCCCTGAGAGGGAGACCTTGCTCTGGGCTTTCTGCTTTAGAGGGTCCCCTTTGACCCTTGCCAGGGCCCACCCCCTTCCCATAGAGGAAGGGGGCCTGAGGACCGAGGAGGTGTGTCTGCCCCGAGCCCATGTTCCCCCTTCCAGGTCCTGCTGCAGGCGCCCAGGACCTTGGAATTCCCCACCCAGACAACCCCATGCCACCAGGGCGTGCTCCCCTAGAGCCAGGCTGGCCGGGGAGGGCTGACTGTCAGCAGGGTGTGTGGATGAGGCCCGGACACGTGGGCTGGTGTTTGCAGGCCCCTGGGTGCAGGGAGGAGCCAGCCATTCCCAGGCCACAGCATCCCAGAGCCGGCCTCCAAGGAGCCTGGCAGTTCGAAATAGAACCCGAGGGGTTGGGAGGGTGTGTCTGTCCAGGCGAGAGGCCAGGACATCCCCGGTGTCCCCTTCCCCAGGCTCTGCAACTTCAGGGTGGGCCTGGCAGGCGGGGTTGGGGGCTTTGAGGACTCCCGCCCCTCTTTTCTCCAGGGACACTGTCTGATCCAGACTCCCGAGGGCACTGCTCTCCTTGTCTACACGGCATCCCGGTCACTTCGCCCTCGCCCTGCCAGGAACCGGGCCTGACCTCGCTGCCTCCCGTTTGCTCCTTATTCCTCAGCTGGGGGGTCCCGCTGGTCATCACCGTAGTAGCCGTGGCTCTAAAGAAGATCGGCTACGACGCCTCAGACGTGTCCGTGGGCTGGTGCTGGATCGACCTGGAGGCAGAGGACCGCGTGCTGTGGATGCTGCTGACCGGCAAGCTGTGGGAGCTGCTGGCCTACGTCACGCTGCCCATGCTCTACCTGCTCATCCGGAAGCACATCAGCAGAGCGGTAGGTGCCCCTCGGGGCCCCGCCCAAGCTCTGTGCGGCCGCGGGGTCCCGGGCCAGCCCTCCTGGGGACAGGCCTAGTGACAGGCCAGAGGGACAGAGGATTTGCCGTGCTGGGCAGCGGGACCACACCTAATTACGAGAATTGTGGGCTGTCTGGCTTGCTAATTACGCAGCCCTGTCAGGAGCGGGTCCTGTGATTCCTACTTTTGTGGATGAGGAAACAGGAGCCTCCCGAGGTTAAGGGGCCCCCCTAAACTCGCCCAGCTCAGAATGAGCTGCTTTGGAGTCAGAAGGCTGAGGGCTCCGCCTGTGTTCTGAGCCACAGCTCTCTACTGCCCCCTCCTGGAAGTCCGCCATGGTTGCTTAACCTTGAGAGGAATTTGGATGAAAGATGAGCAGTATCCAATAAGAAGGGAACTGGCGTGTGCTGGGGAGGGGAGGGGAGGGGAGTCCGTGGAATTTTATAATCAGCGATACAAATAACTCACCTCATTATCCGTGGTGATTAAAATACCATAAATGGTAGACTTTTCAGGCTCGCAGGAATTCATAAATCAATAGGCAGGGCTGGCCAGGAGTCTAGGAGACTTCTGACAACGTGGGTTGGCCAGCAGCTCTAGGAAGGAGTGGTTTTCCTCTTGATAATCTGGTGAAATTGTTCCTTGTTCTGGCCTCCTGGTTCTGCAGATGTAAAGCATGGGCTTCCTCCTGGCCACAGGCAAACTGCTGCCAAAAAAAGGCTCAGGTTAGCCCATCCATTGATCTGCTTGACCATTTTATTCAGTGCATCTTTACTGAGCATCTACTATGCACAAAAGCTCTGTGTGGCCCGGGATTTGTAATGAGAACTCAGGCGTGAGTCCTGCCCTCCTAGAAGGAGGCAGAAGTGTGAGTGATTACGATGGAAGAGAAAATGTGCCCCGTGGCTGGAGCAGTAACACAGGCTTCCGTGAACACTCAGGGGACAGACTTCCAAGCTCCTGCTGCTGGTGTGGGGTCCTGTGTTCCTTTTTGCTCTGAGTTTTCAAGGCTGACGTCGTAGGAGAGTGTGTCCCCATCTTTCAGGGTGTGCTGTTGGTGTCAGCCGCCACTGCCAAGTATGCAGGGTGCTCCCGCAGCTGTCTGACCCTGATCTGCACCCTGTACTCCCATCCATGTCTTCCCGGACACAGACTTGTTCTCTTTGTACTTCAAAATTTACCTGATTCTCACTCCTCCCTGCCACCCTCCTCTGGCTCAGCTTGGAGTCGTTGACAGAGATGCTGGCAGCGCTTCCCAACTGGTCTGAAATCCTCTTTGTCTTCTTCAGGCTTTCTGGTTGGTCTCCTGCCTGGGCTGGGGCTGCGCTTCTCATCTCCTCTTTTCTGCGGCCCTGGGAAGATCTCAGGCTCCCCGATGAAAGCTCCCAGGAGCTCCCCCTGGCTCTGCCTAGGAGCCCCACCCCCACCCAACCTCCAGCTGCGTGTCTTTCTTCTTCCCTTCCTGTAGCGGGGCAGGAAGCCTGAGGCCCTGCCTGTGAGGCTGACCCTCACAAGTGTGAATGGGGCCTCTTTTACAACTCTGTGAGTGTTTCCGGAAAAAAGGAATACTCATGGGCAGGGAGGTGAGAATGAGTTGTTCCTGCCTCCAGCTAGGAGGGAGAGCTGACCATAAATGAGCTGGAGCAGGCTTTACTCTTAAGAGGAGTGGGCCAGCAGCCCTAGCTGGTGCCCGGCGGCTCCCCCCACCCCCGCCGGAGTGCTTCTGGAGGGTAGGGGTGGGGCGTGCAGCTCTCTGGGTGCTGCTGACGGTCCCAGGGGAGGCGGCAGGTGCTCTGAGCAGGTGAGCTGCACCGGCTTGGGTGCCCAGAGATGCCAGGGTGTGTGGCTTCTCTCCTAACCTGGGCCTTCAGTGTCCCCACAGATGACCAGGCTCAAAACCACATCTTTGTTTTGGAGTAGGTTTTTTTTTCCCCCGTCTATTTTTACAAGTACAGTTGTGATCTGGAACTCCCTTTCCTCTCACTGAAGGGCATGCGGAGGAGCAGGGAAGCCAAAGCAGGTGCCTGCTCACCTTCTCCTTCCGCCCCAGCTTTGGGGAAACCCCTGCTGGGGGCAGGCCGGAGTGGGGCCCAGCAGCCCTGTGCCCCAGATTGGGGGGTGGTTGCATTATGGAAGGAGAGGGTGATCGTGAGTAATAGGTTTGATAAACAAGGGTAAATGGTGTGTAGGAAGGAGGATGATAAAAGCTATGAAAAGCAGATAGGAATAAAGAGCTAGCTGTGGGGACAGGACCACCCGGGAAATGCCTTTGCTGTGTAAAGAGGGCTATCAGGATAGGCCTTCTCCAGAAGGTGACATTGGAGCAAAGACTCAAAGAGGGTGAGGAGTGAGCCACGTAGACCGATGGGGAAGAGCATTCCAGAAGGAGGGAGCAGCTTGTGCAAAGGCCCTGGGGTAGGGGTGTGCCTTGCATGTCTGGGGCATTAGGAAGCCTGTATGACTGGAGTGGAGTAAACAGGGGGATAACAGCAGGGATGAGGTCAGAGCTGCACTGGGGTGGGGACATTGTAAGGAACGTGTGAAATGGGGAGCCACCAAGAGCTTTGAGTGGAAGACTGGCTTGGTCCGACTTCAGTTTTCAAGGAACTGCACTGCTCCTGTTTTGAGAATAAGACTAAGATGGGGAGGGATCAGGGTGGGGAGGGCAATGGAGAGGGTCAGTTAAGAGGCAGTTGAAAGTATCCAAGGAAGCAGCGGTGGTGCTTGGACCAGGCTGGCGGCAGTGGCAGTGGATAGAGCATCCAGGTCTGGGTCTGTTTTGGAGGCAGAGCCCTCAGGACTTCCCTGGGGATGGGCTGTGAGCTGGAGCACAAAGGGTCAAAGACGGCTCCCAAGTTTTGGGCCTGGGCAGCTGGAAGGGTAGAGTTCCCTTAGCTGAGATGGGGAAGCATGCAGTGGGCTCGACGGTGGAGATCCGTCACCCATTTTGGACACCCATGTTGGGATGTGGAGCAGGCAGCAGATGGAGGAGACGGGAGATCAGAAGGATCCGGGCCAGAGGAGGGAACCTGGGAGAAGGCATTGCCCACCTCACATCCTCCCCAAGCCGGCCTGTCCCTGCAAGGGTTGTGAGCAGGGCGGGAGGTGCGTCTGGCTCACCCCAGCTCTCTGTGTTCCCGCCCAGCACGCAGCGCTCTCTGAGTACCGGCCCATCATCTCCCAGGCGCAGCAGCTTCAGCGCCAAACATCCGTGGCCGATAAGAAACTGGTCCTGATCCCGCTCATCTTCATTTTCCTCCGGGTCTGGAGCACCGTGCGCTTCATCCTGACCCTCTACGGCTCCCCAGTGGTGCAGTCGCCGGTGCTGGTCGTTCTGCACGTAGGTCTGCCCAGCCCCTCCCCCGGCGAGAGCTGCACCCCGCCTTCCCCTCGCCCACGGGGAGCCTTGACCAGAGGAGGTGGGAGGTCAGTGTGGCCCTGGGGCAGCCCGGGGGAGCTGAGCGGCTGCCCAGTGGCTGAGGAGTAGCCCCAGGGGAGTTGACTGATCCGAAGTCCTCCCCCACCAGGAAGACCTGGAGACTCGCACCTGCAAGTTCAGGCCTGCCCCGAGCTGAACCACCGGCCAGGGTCACCGCAGACCAGCCTCAGGGGGTGGAGGACAAGGTCCTGGGGTCCCCAGCCCTCCCCAGCCCCCTCACGTGTGTTGTTCAGACCCGCTCCAGCCCTGGCCCTGACACTTCTTCTGTTCTCCCTGCCAGGGTATCGGGAACACGTTTCAGGGAGGTGCCAACTGCATCACATTCGCCCTCTGCACGCGCCCTGTCCGCACCCGGCTCCTCTCTCTCTGCTGCTGCTGCCCTTCTCAGCCCCCCGCCCAGAGCCCTCCCAAGGCAGCGGCGCCCTCCCAGACAGGCCAGGCCCAGCGACCCACGCGGACCCCAGGCGAACTTCTGTGCACCTGAGCTTCTCCCTTCCTAGATCTGTGCATGGGTGCTGTGACCTGGGGCCCAGCGGTCTGAGCGCCGGCTGCAGGGAGCGGGCGTGGGTGTCGGTGCGCTGCCGGCCTTCCGCTAGCCAAGCTCTTGACCCCGCCAGGGAGCAGCGCAAACTCAGCTTCTTCTACCTCCTCGACCCTCAGGCGCACATGCCCCTCACACTGCATCCTTCTGCACCCGGGGGTAGTCGTCTGCGTAGGGTTGGCACTGAGATTCAGGGAAACTAGAGGTATGTGATCATTATCAGGGCACCTTGTGGTCCGGGGGTCCTCGGCCTCATGACCACGCAGCACTGTTTACAATTTGAGGGACCCACACCTGTGGGAAGAGCATGAAGAGACTTGTACACTGTGCACCATCCTAAATAAAATGTCGGGGGGACCAGAGATGTGCCCCCAACCAGACGCCACGGAGCAGATTCCTTGTTTATCAGAGTGTTGCGATTCTCCCAAGAGCCTGGCTTTTCTTGGATAGCTCTGCTGGTCAACAGAAGTGCCAGTTACCTTTAACCAGGAGGTTCCCTGGTGACCACCGTGAGCACAGCCCAGCACAGCTGCTCAGGACAGCCAGTCTCCTTGGGACCTCCCAGGTTCTCTCTGTGGGCTGCCCGCCCTTGATGAAGATTGTGTTTGAGTTTCAAGCACGGGCCAGATTCCATACACTTAAAATACGGGTCCCTCCTCCAGGGCAAAAGCTGGACCAGGACAGGAAGAGGCCACTGCAGGGAGTCCCCCCGGGCTCCCCACTGCCACTCGTGTCTGTCCTTGTGGAGACTGAAATAGGGGTGGGTTGGGGGAGGATCTGGCTTATCAACTTCCTAGTTTAATGTTTTATAGGAAAGGTGACCAGAGAGGGAGTGAATCATCCAGATCCTGATTCCTCCCTGACCGTGAAGGTTCTGGGAATTCGTTAGGGGAAACTGACACACACATCATGGGGTGATTATTTACATTGAAAAGAAAAGGATTTAAAATAAGCATTTGTATCTCTGTGAGAAGTGGCTGTTCCACCAACACGTTCCACTTATTTCAGAAAACAATTTCTCTGTGAAGTCACCGAAGGCACTGGCCAGGAGTGAGCGGTGTTAAGCGTCCCTGCGGGAGCCTAGGGGGAGAAGTACAATTTTACCCGGTAGGTGCCCCCCCTTGGGTCCCATGAGAACTCTGCAAAGCTGGAATGACTTTCTGAACCTCTAATACGGTTCTGGATTAAAACCGCAGCCACACCGTATTGCTGATGCCCGTTTTACTCCCAAAAGCAAAACTCTGTAACCGGAGGGGAATCTGAACAGGCTCGTCCTCTACAGAGCTAGGTCCAGAGTGCCCATCTGGGGTTTCCTTTAAAAAAAGGTTTTATGAAAATCAGCAAGAGGTAGACATCCCCTCGGGATTCAGAGAAAGCTCTGGGCTGCCCTGCAGAAAGCTGCTTGTCAGTAGGTCAGTCTCCTTACAGAAACGGCCCACGTGCGGGGCGCCTGGTTCCCCTGAAGGTGTTACAGCACGTCACGGGCACCTGACTGGTAAGGACCCTCACGTTAGCTTCTGGAATGGAGCAGAAATTCAGGAAGTTCCTTGCTGCAGAAAAGAAAGTGACCCACGGCTGAGTTAGAGCACGGGCAGTGGGGCAATGATGCCGGAATAAAGCCTGCTGCGAAGGGGGCCCCGGATTCCTCGGCTCAGGTGGTGCAATGCTGGGCGTGGCCTCTCCAGGACCAGCCTGAGACCTGGGTTTCCCCAGACCAGCTGGGAAGGACCTGCAGAGGGAGTCAGGGCTCCGAGAAGAGCGTCTCTGTGTGCCCGGGCCTCCCTCGTGTTCTCCTTCCACCTGTTTGCTGCTGCTGTTGTGCCGTGGGATGCAAAACCACCCCAGAGTTGCACCTGGCTATTACCGTTTCAACTCCCTCTGCCCCACACCAGTCTCTGCAGATGAGTGGATGTGTTAGTACTGGGTGGGGGGGCGGGGGGGAGCTTGTCCCAGTGCCCGGGGCCGGTGCTGACGGCAGCAGAACCTTGGAAACACAGCATCACCTCTTCCTCGGGTCAGTCTAGCTCGGCGGGTGGCATTCAGGATGTGTGGGGACGAAGTCGTTTCCTGAAGGTCCAGGAGGGGCTCTTGCCTCGGACCAGAGCAAGACGAGCTGTGTGCCTCTCACACTTTGCTCGGCCTCAGGGGGTTCTTTCTCTTCTGTCCATGTGGTTCATGTCTGTCCACCCTCACCCCTCGGTTACAGGTGTGTGTCCTCAGCCTGAACAGGTGCTAGTTCTCGTTCCAGTGTGTTCTCAGCCCGGCGCCCCTCTCTCCTCAGACGCTTGGTCTTTTCCTCAGGTCTCCTGCGCACTTTCTGCCTCTTTGGGCTTCTGAGTCGATTCTGTCTGCGTTTGTTTTTTAATAAAGATGAGGACTTGGCCCAGGCTGAGGGGGCAGACAGCTCGTCATACACCCACGACAAGAAAACACCTTTCTTCAAACTTCCCATCACGCCACAGTAACATCTCGTGCAGTTTTTTGCACGTGCAGATTGTGCTGAAAACCCTCACCGTCTGGGTCAAGGCCAAAGTCTTGCTGCTCTCAATTAAATAAAAGAATTATTTTTCTTTTGCGTGTTTGGTGAACTGATTGCCCATGATGTGTGTGGGTTGAGGGGGATGTGCGCGGAGGAAGGATGGGGCAGGGCGGCTCAGACCAACCTGTGCTAGTGGGGGCGCAGGTCCAGAGCCTTCCGTGAGGTTGGGCCCTGGAGACGACGTCTGGGCCCTTCTCCGTGAGCAAATGTAGTCACGTAGGAGGCTGCCTACTTGAGGGTTGGCACAGCCAGCTTCTCCTGAGTTGGCCTGATAGAATCACAGGAGTCTGTGGACGGGGTGGAGGGTTAGAATACAGATTCCCAGGCCTCATCCCACATGAGGATCCACAGATCCAAGTTCCAAGGACCCACACTTTGGGGCTAAACTTCCACAAGTGAGACACTCCAGCACTGGGCCACCTACTGTGCCTCCCTTCCTGCACGATTTTGTCACAGCCCCGTGACCCACCACAATGGCAGCTAAGGCTCCCTGGCAGCCCGGGACCGCTGGCGCACCAGGGCTCTTCTCTGAAGGGAGCAGCCTTCCAAAATCAGCCTTTGGAGCTGCTGCCTGGTTTTGTGCAGAACTTCACAGCCCGTGCAGCCCTGCCTTCAAGTTCTTTTTTTTTTTAATGCTACATCTTGGGAACTTTGCTCTTGAAGATGCTGCTTGTTTCTTTGTTCCACTTCCTGGATCTTGTAAAGCTAAAAATACATTAACTTTGAAGAGAACGAGAAGACGAGCCGCAAACTAGGAGAAATATTTACAAGAGACACATTCACGTAAGATGAGGGTTGTTAACCTGCTGTAATCATTTCATAATATATGCAAATCGCCCTCATTCTCCACGCCTTCAACTTATATTGTGATGTATGTCTCAGTGAAACGGGGGGGGGGGCAGGGGAGACATATATGATAAAGGACTGTTCCCAAAATTACAGCCCAGGGCAGAGATGTGCAGGACAAGGCGCGGGGAAAGGACACGGAGAGTCTGTGCCCTCCGAGTCCAGTTTTCCCCAAGCCTCTATGTTCGCCTGTCCTTTCAGGGTTTTATGGAGGCTTCATTGCATGATTGAGTAAATCATTGGCTGTTGGTAACTGATTTAACCTCCAGCCCCTCTCTCATCCCAGGAGGTCGGTGTGGTTGGACTGAAAGTTCCAACCCCCTAATCACAGGGCTGGTTCCCCTGGCCACCAGCCCCATCCTTGGCTCACCTAGGGGCTTATCCAAAAGTCATCTCATAGACATAACAAAGACACTCTCAGTGCTGAGGAAGTTCCAAGTATTTTAGGATCTATGTGCCAGGAACAGAGGAAGACCAAATACACACTTTTTTACTATAAGTCACAATATCACAATGCTGTTCCATATCGTCCCATGCTGCTCCCTCTCCCTGGAAAGCCTTCCTTTTTCCTTCCTGCCTGGCTTCCTGCTTCTTTAACCAACAGACACCTTGAAGGGCACCTCCCTCTGCTCCGTGGCGTTCTAAGCAGACCACTTGGATGCCATGGTGTCCGCAGAGACCAGATGTTCCCGGGACCACTCTCCTGGGCCTGTTTCCCCAGAGCCTGCCCTGTCCCCTACTAGGGCCAGACGAGCACGCACCTGCGCTTACAGCTGAGAAGGTGGAGTTTGGGAGGAAGAGGTAAGCCACACTCTGAATGAAGCCTGTAGGTTCAAAAAAACCAAAAAACAAAATTTAAAAAAGGCTCAGAATCACTTATTGGAGCAGAATCCAGAATCCAGGCTCCATGAAGAAAAGGTTTTCCTGGTGCTATGGGGTCAGACACTGTGAGTAGGTAACAGTAGTGCTTACTGACTCACCGCATCTGGGGCTAAATGAGGTGGCCCTTCTCAGCAGAGCCTCGAGTGACTCACGGGTCGCAGACCCATAGAGTCTGCCCTGCCTTTTGATAAAATCAAGCCGGGCACTGCCTGCAGGGTACGGAAAAGCACTCACAACGAGGCCCTAGTGGGGTTTCAGAGCAGGAGGGGTATTTAGTGGAATAAATGTTTAGTGGCTTTAAAAAAAAATTGAAATATAGTTGATATATAATTACAGGTGCACAAAATTGTGATTCACAATTTTTTAAGGTTATACTCTATGTATAGTTATAATAAAATATTGGCTGCATCCCCTGTGCTGTACAACATATCCTTGTAGCTTACTTTATGCATAATTGTTTGTAACTCTTAGTCCCCTCCCCCTATATTACCCCTCTCCCCTCCCCTCTTCCCATTGGTAACCGCTAGTTTGTTCTCTGTATCTCTGAGTCTGCTTCTTTTTTGTTCTATTTACTAGTTTGTTGTATTTTTTTAGATTCCACATATAAGAGATACAATACAGTATTTGTCTTTCTCTGTCTGACTTATTTCACTAAGCATAATACCTTTAGGTCCATCTATGTTGCTACAAATGGCAAATTTTCATTCTTTTTCGTAGCTGAGTAGTATTCCATTGTGTGGGGGGCTTGTGTGTGTGTGTGTGTGTGTGTATCACATCTTCTTTATCCAGTCATCTGTTGATGAACACTTAGGTTGCTTCCATGCCTTGGCAATTGTAAATAATACTGCTATGAACATTGGGACGCATGTATCTTTTCTAATTAGTATGTTTCTTTTTTTTTCGGATATATACCCAGGAGTAGAATTGCTGGGTCATAGGGTAGTTCTATTTTTAGTTTTTTGAGAACCCTCCGTACTGTTTTCCATAGTGGCTGCACCAATTTACATTTCCACCAACAGTGTACAAGGGTTCCCTTTTCTCCACATCCTCACCAACATTTGTTATTTGTGGTCTTTTTGATGACAGCCATTCTGACGGGTGTGAGGTGACATC